TTTGAAGCAGAAAAGTTTTAATTTTGGAGTTCAACTTACCTATTTTTTGTTTTGTTACTTGTGCTTTTGGTATTATTGCAGATTTATTTTTAAATAAATTCCCATTGATAGTCTAGGTCTATGACAAAGTTTTAATTATCATAGAACTACAAAAAAGCATTGGCATTTCCTGTGTTTGACAGTCAAAGCCCAAAGGAGGCAATTATCCTTGTATTTGTGCTTCAATTCCTCAGCTAATTGCTTTAAGCAAAACCTTATGTTTTGATCTCATGTATTACTGTGAAAATATTAGCTGTGTGTGATATGTTTATTGATATTAGTCTTGTGAATTTATGTTTAGTTGTTTTGGATTGAAGAAGAGAGGGGCCATCCTTAATAGATGTATTAGTCCGTTCTCATGCTGCTAATAAAGACATACCCAAGACTGGGTAATTTATAAATGAAAGAGTTTTAATTGACTCACATTTCGCAGGGCTGGGGTGGCCTCAGGAAACTTACAGTCATGGTAGAAGGGGAAGCAAACACATCCTTTTTCATATGGTGGCAGCAAGGAGAAGTGTAGAGTGAATGAGGGGGAAAAGCCCCTTAGAAAACCATCAGATATTGTGTGAACTCACTATCACGAGAACAGCATAGAGGTCACTGTCCCCATGATTCAGTTACCTCACACTCGGTCTTTCCACAACACTTGGGGATTGTGAGAGCCACAGTTCAAAATGAGATTGGGGTGGGGACACAGCCAAACCATATCAATAGTTTAGTTTATCAAGACAATTACTGCATAATTTTTTTTTTTTTTTTTGGAAATGCAGTCTTGCCCTGTCACCCAGGCTGGAGGGCAGTGGTGCCATCTCAGTTCACTGCAACCTCCGCCTCCTTGGTTCAAGCGATTTTCCTGAGTAGCTGGGATTACAGGCACACACCACCATGCCCAGCTAATTTTTGTATTTTTAGTAGAGACGGGGTTTTACCACGTTGGTCAGGCTGGTCTCAAACTCCTGACTTCAGGTAATTCACGCACTTTTGTCTCCCAAAGTGCTAGGATTACAGGCATGAGCCCCCGCGCCTGGCCAGTGTCTTGGGGACCAGTTTAGTTCCTTATTTTTTTTTTTACCATTATGTGACTTCTTATATCAGTTGAAGGTGCATTTCATGAGATTTTGGCCTATCTGTTGTCTAATTAGTTTCTGGAGATGGAATGTCACTGGTCTTCAAAGCATTAGTTTTCTGTGTAAAGTTGAGATTGTAATGTAAATGCACTAGATGTGTTTTTATTAGGGGAATTGACTATTCTTACCTTTCATATTATCTGATAGTATTCTGTGTCAACTTCAGATAACAAAAGGTCTATTTGATGAAATTTTATAAAGCTGAGATCAGAGGTGTTCTTGTTAGTTGATTTAAAATAATGATGTTCATTGGCTAACAGTCACTTGAGTGCCTATTAATTGGGTAATATTGTTCTTTTTTTTTTTTTTTGAGAAGGAGTCTCACTCTGTCGCCCAGGCTGGAGTGCAGTGGTGTGATGTCGCCGACTGCTGCAACCACTGCCTCCTGGGTTCAAGTGATTTTCCCACCTCAGCCTCCCGAGTAGCTGGGATTACAGGTGCATGCCCCCACGCCTGGCTAATTTTTGTGTTTTTAGTAGAGATGGGGTTTCACCATGTTGGCCAGGCTGGTCTCTAATTCTTGACCTCCGGTTATCCTCCTGCCTTGGCCTTCCAAAGTGCTGGGATTACAGGTATGAGCCACCATGCCCGGCCAGTTTGGTAATATGATTCTATACATTGATGTTTTTATAGTTTATGTTATAGTATCCATGGAAATTTAGCAGTGAAAAAGGCTAAACAACATTCATGATGTTAAATTTTTAATTGTGATATAAATAAGGAAAAGACATAGTTGAGAGTTACCTCCAATTGTTTATATCAAATGTAGTTATTAATGGGATTTTGGTGACCTATTTATGGCTGAATTAAGGCAAAATAGCTTTTATATCTTATCTTTCCTCTTCCCTTCTCTTGTTCCGTATTCTTACTATCATAATAATTGACTATACATTAATTTTAAGTGTTTAATTTTAAATAGGGTTTTAATATCAGTAGAGACTTGCTTTTTTTTTTTTTTCTTCAAGGTAAGTACCCTTTAAACTACTCATTTGTCACTAGAGTCAGTAGAGGTTTCTGTATATAATAGGCAACAGCTTCTCAAGGCATGTCTTACTTTGCTGCTCTGCTGATCCATAATACATCTTGGAGACATTGGTTTTGGTTATCTGACTAGAACAATTAACCTGTTCTTCATTAGTTGGATCTTTGCTTACTAATCTTAGAAAGGCTCAGCTGGACTCGGATTATTCTAATTGCCATACTGTTTTTGCACAAATGCCTGCAAATTGTTGAACAGTAACGCTGACCCCTTTTTCTTCCGATAAAGTTATTACAGTAATCACATCATTGCAGAGAATATTCCCCCCCCCAGCCACTGATCAGTAATAACATCCAAGAGCACTGATAATATTTCTTAAAAGTTTTTCTTTTTAATATTCACTTCTTTAATGAAAAACTTAATCCAGATTAAGCCACATACGTAGACATTTTGACTTCATTATTATGAATACCTGAGATTTCCAAATTCTCTTTAACTGTCTTCACATAATTTCCAGTCTGTTATTCTAAGTAATCACAACTGTTTATTTTTTCTACTTTTGTTCCCTCTTCATGGGCTGCCTAGAGTTTCTAGAGTTTCATCAGTTTCCTGTTTTGAGAGGGTTTCTAGTATAAATTCACATTTCCCCATCCTTGTTTATCCAAGATCCTTCCTGGTAATTTTAATCTTTTTGATTTGTTTCATTCTGCATGTTAATTATTTGGACCCATTCTCCTGTGCTCAAATGACCAGCCCTATCCCTAGTTTTCTTACTCCTTTTTCATTTCATATTTTATACCCTTTTTTCTTCAGTATTTCTTAAAGAATAAAATGTTTTCATTTCAAAAGCTTATTATCTCTATTTTTAACCTTAGCTTTTCTTTCCTATACCATTTTTTCTTCTTCTTTATGCTCCATGCTGGGTTCTCTGCCTTATCAATTAATCTTGAAAAGGAACTCACTTCCTTCCCATTATCTCCAAGGTTGTTTGATTTATAGTCCATTATAGGTATCTCCAATTTGTCAACTCTTACTCGACTGCTTTCTGAAGTTTGACTATTATTTCTACCAGTGTTCTGCTTTCTTAAGTGTTAAGTACCACATTTCTTACTTAACCAGGTAGATAAACATTAGCTGGATGGATCTGGCTGTAAACATGCTGTTATTTCCAAGATAAAATTGAGTTCCAAATGGCTAAACTTTTCTACTTTTCTTCCTTTCCTGTCTTTTTAAACAATTTGTTATGTTGCTGCTTCTTAACATTCACTTCTCCTTTGTGTTCTTTAATAAACCTTACTGGTTTTTCTCCTCTCTCTTATTAAATGTTTGTTTTCTTTGTTACGGCTTTCTTCTTTTATATACCACTTGTATATAAATTGGGGTGAAGCTTTGCTCTTAGCTCTTTCTCATTGTACACCATTTTGAGGAGGTGTTCTCTGTGTTCATTATGTAGATTATCACAAATTTGTGATGACTCACAAATACCACATGTTTCTTTCCGACCTGTTTTACTACTGTCTCGTTATGTCATTAGCACCCCAAAATTGTTATTTCCCAAGTGAAAAAGTTTGTCTTGTACAATGCTCGATAACATGGTTGGAACTAAGTAAATGCTTTTTGAGTCATGAACAAACTCCTTATCTAAGCTATCCAATCCATTCAATTTATCTTTTTTTTCTTAAGATAAAGGTTTTAACTGTTCACCTATTCTCATGTCACAAGCCCTGTAATATCTCTAACCAATTCTTGTCTACACTTGTTAACATCAGTTATTAGTTATCATATTTTGGTCCTAAATTTGACTAGTGAGGAAGATGACATTTTCATTTGCAGATGGTAGAAATGAAGATCTCAGAGAATGTGATTTCCTTATGGTTTTATGGATAGTGGCAGAGTTGAAACCTAAAACTAAGTTTCTGATGACATGTTTCCTGGTTCCTGGTTTTCACAGAAAACATTCTTCTTCTTCTTCTTTCTTTCTTTTTTTTTTTTTTATTTTAGACAGAGAATCTCACTGTATCACCCACGCTGGAGTACAGTGGTGTGATCTCTTGGGCCACTGCAACCTTGGCCTTCTGGGTTCCAGCCATTCTCGTGTGTCAGCCTCCAAGTAGCTGGGATTACAGGTGCCCGCCACCATGCCCAGCTATTTTTTGTATTTTTAGTATAGATGGAGTTTCACCATGTTGACCAGGCTGGTCTTGAACTCCTGGCCTCAAGTGATCCACCTGCCTCATTCTCCCAAAGTGGCGGGATTACAGGCATGAGCCACCACAGCCAACCAAAAACATTCTTTGTAATGAATGATACAGGTAATATGCCAGACAAGAAATTACTCAGTGTGTTATGTGAGATTTAAAAAAAAAGAGAAAACTGGAAGTGAAAGTACTTTAAATTCTTGTCTGATGAGGTGAAGATTTTAACTTGGTGTAAGGAATAGAAATCAAAGATGTGAGAAATTTTTCATTAATTAGAACTTTGAGATTCTTCTTTTAAGGATGCAGTGATGCTAGTGAAGTAGTTGAGTGAACCATCTTTCACATAGCAGCTATAAAATCTGGACAAAATATTGAAAGAAAAACTTTAACTGTTTTAAAAGCAATGTAAAGTAACCAAAGAAGGCAGAAACCAGATGAGAGCCTCCAATTGCAATGTGTAATTGTGTGTTTGTGGCTTTCTTGCCTTAGCCTCCTGTTGTTCCAATGGTATAGGAAAGAAGTTAGCAGTTGGAAATTTACTCAGGGGAATCCTGGAAGCAAGAAGTAAGATCCAAAATCTGAATGGAAACTCTGTCCAGATTGTAGCTAATCATGAAACAATACATGCATAGGGAGACCCCAGGGGACCCCGTGTAAAAACAGGTAGAAACAAGAGTGGAATCTGCTCTTGAAAGAATTAAACCATATAATTCATATTTGCTTCTTTTTTTGACAGAACATGTTGTTGACAAAGAGTTAAAATTTAGGGAAGAAACACTGAAAGCAAGATAACATCAGAGGATGTGGGCCACACATCTGAGTATAGTCTCTGTCCAGTTCCTTCGCTGACCACCAGACTACCGAGGTGCAGAGGGAATCCCCTGGGCATCAGGTTAGAAGAAGGAAGCAGCTGGAAGGTGAAAGAACTAAGTAAAATCATTGTTGCTTACCACAGGGGAGACACACAATAAGTCCTCACTTAACTTTATTGATAGGTTCTTGGAATCTGATTTTAAGTGAAACAATGTGTAACAAAATATTTTTCTCCCCTCAATTTTATAACAAAACAATATTAAAGGAAATGACAGTGTTTAAGGATCTTGGTATATGTTGTTTTGCTTCAGGTTGCTGTTTCCAAGAACCTGTCAATGATACGAACTGAGGACTTACTGAAGTTTGCAGTTTTAGTCCATGCAAGCCCATTAGAATCATACAACACAAAAACCAAATGTTCTTTGAAAGACTGTGACAAAATCCTATTGCTATAATATGTTGTTTACAATATCTATTTTCAACCAAAAATTATTAGATATGCAAAGAAAGTGTAAATGTGATTCATTCTCAGGTAAAGAAAATCAGTTAATAGAAATTAACCCTGAGTATAGCTAGATACTGGATTTAGCAGGCAAAGACTTTAAAATAGTGCTAAATATAATCGGAAGAATTTAAGGAATCCTGTGTTCAAAAGGATTAAAGAAAAATACAGTCGCCCCTCTGTTTCCATGGTTTCTGCATCTGCAGATTCAACCAACCATGGATCAAAAATAGTTGTGGAAAAACATAATAAAAATTTACAGTACAACAGTAAAAATATGCAAATTAAAAACAATAAAGTCTTGTTGAGTGAACAGATAAGAGATCAAAACAGAGAAATATAAAGAAGAGAATTTTAGGGTTGAGGTCAGTAACTGCAATGAAATTTTATGTGACAGAGTCTTGCTCTGTTGTCCAGGCTGGAGTACAGTGGCATGATCTCAGTTCTCTGCAACCTCAGCCTCCGAGTTGAAGCGATTCTTTTGCTTCAGCCTCCAAGGTTTCTGGGAGTACAGACGGGCAACACCATGCCCAGCTAATTTTTGTATTTTTAGTAGAGACAGGGTCTCACCATGTTGATCAGGCCAGTCTCAGACTTGAACTCCCGATCTCAGGTGATCTGCCTACTTCAGCCTCCCAAACTGATGGGATTACAGGTATGAGCCACCGTGCCCACACATGAAATTTAATTAAACAAGCAAAACAGTTGTTTGGAGATGGCAAAAGAATCAGTTAAAGATAGATTAATAAAAGTTATCTATTGGAAAGAGAAAGAATGGGGAAAAATAAGCAGAGTTTGAGAGACCTTTGGGGTAATACAGTGTTTGAACATCCATCTAAATGGAGTCTCAGAGAATAAATAATGGCTTGAAAACTCCCAACATTGGTGGAGAGTACCAATTTACATATTGAGGAAGCTCAGCCAACTTCAAGCAGGATAAACATACACAAAAAACATATGTAAGCACATAAGTAGTCAAATTGCTCAATGCCAGAGAATTTCTTGAAAGTAGCCAGAAATAACTTACCAGAAACAATGGCGACCTCTAGTCATGCTTATGGTATATTCAGCTGAAAGGCAAAAAGCTATCAAATAAGAATTCTATGTTCAGCTAGAAGTGAAGGTAAAATAAATACATGTTCAGATAAGCCAAAACTGGGAAATTTTTCACCAGCCAACCACCATTACAAGCAATTCTAAAGGAATTGATTTCAAGGGAAATGGTACCAGTAACATCAAAACTAGTAAATACATAATTTAATTTTTATAATTATAAACTATATTTTTTCTTATTTTAAAAACAAGTACCTGTGACTTGAAGCAAAAATTATGATGCTGTATTGTTGGGTTTATAATGGAGTTTGATAATTGACATATGATATTTAACATGTATGTTATGAAATGACATGCAAATTGATATATTAAACAATAGTCTTTTGAACATGGTACATCTCATTAGGGTTGTTGTTTAATTTTAGTAATGTATAACAAAACTTTAAAGTGTGGTAAAATACATGAAAATTTGCCATTTCCATTTTAGCTGTACGATTCAGTGGCACATTACATTCCCAGTGTTGTTCATTCATTACTACTTTTTCCAGAACTTTTCTATCATTTCAAACAGAAATTCTGTACTTACTAAGCAGTAATTTCCCATTTCCCTTTCCCTAGTCCTTGGCAATGTCTAATCTACTTTCTGAATTTGCGTATATGTAGTATTCCCCTTATCTACAGTTTTGCTTTCTGCAATTTCAGTTATCCATGGTCCTCCACGGTCTGAAAATTGGTGATTATAGTACAATAAGGTATTTTCAGAGACAGAGAGAGACCACATTCATATAACTTTATTACCGTATAATTCTTTTTTATTATTAACATTGTTAATCTCTTTGCCCAATTTACAGATTAAACTAATAACTATATATGTATAGGAAAAGAAATAGTGTATATAGAGTTTCTTTCTAACTGTGGTGTCAAGCATTCACTGGGGGTTCTTGGAACATATGTCCTGTGGATAAGTGGGGGACTAGTGTACTTCCTGCCCAGCCCCTTGGTTTGGAATCACTGCTGTATGAATATAAGGGCAGTCTGCCTGTGTGGTAACTCTCCATTGATCACCAGGGTGAATGAGTTAATTGCTGTCTATTAAGAGTCTTGGAATGACTATTGAGTTTGCTCTGTGTATGTATACATGCAACAGTATGGCTACTGTTGTAGCTGATTTGGCTATGGTATTGTAGTAGCTTATTTGCTTCAGAGATGGAGTAGTGATAAAATCTGGTTTACTTAGTGGAAGCTGGTGTAAAAATGGGTTCTCTGTTTTATTGAATTTAGCTTGATTGGAAAAAGTGGAAGTGCTGATGGTTTTGAAAATATGATGGTAATGATGTCATCCTCTGGTTTCAATATTTTGTAGCACTTGTGGTAGATTAAATGCTGGTGTTGGTAGTAAAGTCATTCTGTAGTTATAGTCTGAACTAGCTGTACTGTTTTGGGTAGTGACTTAGACAGTAGTGAATACCACTTTCCTAGGCAGGGCCCCTCACCTCTCCTAGAGAGCCATTTCACTGCATGTTGGAGCAAATATACAGACAGGAAGTAGTTAGACCCTAATTTCTACAAGTTAGGTCAGTTGGGGAACAATTGTGGTTGTCTACCTGTGTTAGGGCTGTATTGGTTTTGCTTTTAGTTGTGCTATAAAGTGGGAAAGATTGAATTGCTTATTTATCTCTTATTTATGGTGAAACTTTCCTGTGGTCCATAGAAGTGGCATAGCAAGCTGAACATAGCTGGGTTGGTTCTTGATTACAAGATCCTACCCCCACCTACCTTTTTTTCCTGCCTAGTTTCTTGTATTCATACTGCAAGCTCTTTTTCTCAGTTAGAAGTAAGTTAGTTCACTCTTGATAGAGCTGGTTTACAAAGGAATTTTATGTGTGTCATACTGTTTGATTCTCTCTTAAAAGTAGATATAGGACTGTGGTAACAATCCAACATGATGTTAACTGTGCTCTCATTTTTAAATGTGTAAATGGATGTGTGTGAAATGGTGGCTTGTCTGATACAGTATTGGCTGCTAAGACATGTCTGACCTAGAGCCTAGATGTGTTGGCTTCTTAATAGTCTCTGTGCCATGCTGGATGATGTATATTTGGATCATTCTTTTTAGTTGACTAAGATGATACATATCTTATACCTCTTGAGAGGAACATAAAGGCAGGTGAAAAATTTACTAGATGCTCTTAAAAGATGAAAATAGATGTGCTCCATCACTAGTATAGTTTCTTTTTGACCACTGTGTCAACCTGTTTAAAAGTATATTTTAAACATCAAATTAAAAATATTTCCTTAACTGACTTTTTTTTTTTAATAGGGGTGGGGAAGATATGAGTAGAAGAGAAATGCATTGGAAACTGAGTACCACTACCCTTTTTCTTTACCTTCTATTCAAAAATCTTTCTTAAATTCTACAGTATCAGTATAACAATTTTTATCTTTTCAACTGTCTTTAAGATTCTTTATTTTGTCTCCAGACTGTTAGGATTCTACTAGAGAAGTTGCTTTTGGATTTTAATTTCTCTGCTCCATTTTCATCTTCTTTTTTAATTAAAAAAATCCAGTTTTATTGAGTTCTAATTAATGCATAATTTGTTGAGTTTTGACATATATGTGTACTCATGAAGCCATCACCACAATGTATATAACCAGTGAATATATATATCACCCTCAAAAGCCTCTTTGTAATCTCTTCCCTCCCCACTTCCTGGCAACCACTGATTTGCTTTCTGTTACTGTAGGTTAGTTTGCATTTTCTTGAATGTTATGTAGATAGAATTATATAATGTGTCTCCTCTTTTGTCTGACTTCTTTCAACCTTAACTGAATACATTTGAGATTAGTCTATGTTGTTGGATGAATAATCAATACTTTTTTTTAACTAGGGAATGGTATTTCCTTTTTAGTGTATATTACAATTTGTTTTTTGCCTGTTTCCATTTAGCTATTATTACTGGATTGGGTTATTAACAGTTATTGACTATTATGAATAAAGTGGTCACAATGTTTGTCTGTGGTTTTGTTATGTGGACTTGTGCTCTTATTTCTCCTATAAGTGGAATGGCTGAGTCATGTAGTAGGTGTATATTTACCTTTATAAGACACTACCAAACTTTTCCAAACAGATTCTATCAGTTTATATTACCACTTGCAGTGTATGAGCATTTCAGTTGTTTCACGTCCTCAGAATTCTTGGTATGGTCAGTATTTTATTTGTTTTAGTAGCTATATAATAATGTCTTATTGTGGTATTCATTAATTATTAGGAAAGTGTGAATTATGTTAAACATCTTTACGCTTGTTTGCCATTCACGTATTTTTTTTTTTTTTTGGAGATCCACTCTTGCTCTGTTGCCAGGCTGCAGGCTGGAGTGACATATCTTTTTTTGTCGAAGTATTTTCTCAAATCTTTTACCTATTTATTTATTTATTTTTTATTTTAAATAAGAGCCTTGCTCTGTCTCTCAGGCTGGAGTGCAGCGATATGGTCATAGCTCACGTCAGCCTTGACCTCTTGAACTCAAGTGATCCTCCTACCTCAGCCACCTGAGCAACTGGGACTACAGGTGTGTACTGTGACACTCAGCTAATTTTATTTTTTAAAGATAGGGTCTGACTGTTGCCCAGGCTGGTCTCAAACTTCTGGCCTTACGCCATCCTTCCACTTCAGCCTCCTAAACTGCTGGGATTACAGGCATGAGCCACAGCGCCTGACTACTTAATTTTTTTTTATTGTATTGTTTGTCTTATTATTGAATTATAAGAGTTCTTTATGTGTTCTAAATACTAGTCCTTTGAATAACTAGTTGCAGATTTTTTTCAGTTTGTGGCTTGCCTTTTTTTCTTTACCAATTTCTTCTCAAGTTCAAAAGTCTTTTATTTTGATGAATACACGTTTATATTTTTTCTTTTATATATCATGCTTCTTGTATTGTATTTTGGTAGGCCAAATAATGATTTCTGAAAGATGTCCACATCCTAATTTCCAAAAGCTGTGTGTATGTTACCTGACATGGCTCTAGGAATTTTCATACGTGATTAAGTAAAGGATCTTTAAAGGGGACGGTTATCTAGGTGAGCCCAGAGTAATCAGAGAGTCCTTGTAAGGGAGAGGCAAAACCAGTCAGGGCAGAATTGATGAATAACTGCAGCAGAGGTTGGAATGATATGCTTTGAAGATGGAGGAAGGGGTCATGAGCTAAGGCCATGAGCTAATAAATTTGTGTTGCTTTACACCACGTTTATAGTAATTTCTTACAACAGCCAGTATAGGTTTTGGTACCTCTAAGTGGAATGGTGCTGTAACAAATACCTAAAAAGGTGAAAGTGGCTTTGAAATTGGGGTATTGGCAGAAGCTGGTATAATTTTGAGGAAGGTGATAGAGAAAGCCTGTACAACGGTACAGCCCCTTTTGGGGCTGGTGAGGCCCCAGAAGGAGGGGAGGAGCACAGTAGAGAAAATCTGTTATCATGTTAGAGAATACCTAAATCATCATAAAGAGACTGTTGGTTGGTGGAAATGTGAATGTTAAAGATGCTGCTGCTTGTGGAGACTATGAAGGACTTGAGGAAGATGTTACTGGAAACTGAAGTAAAGGGGATCCTTGTTTAGATTGTAACAGAAAGCTCACCTGAATTCTGTCCTATAGTTATGTGACTAAGTCTTCTGTGTTGCCCGGGTATGGCAGCAGTCATTTATGTATACATTTGTAGTTCTATTCTGTACTTGTTATAAAGTAGTTTTAATTAAAGTGACAGATTTATAGTTTTATAAAATAAATTTATATTTGAAAAATCCATATTTAGAACAAATATCTTGGTAGACTATATATATTCTTGAGATATTATCATTATAAAAGTTTTTTACAGCTTTCTTTTGAATAAATGGATATGTAAAAGTAATTTCTTTTTAAACCTTTAATTTCTAGATTTCATGATGACTTCTTTAAAAAGAATAATTTTTAAAAATGCATTTTAATTTATAACTATAATGATTGTTTAAGGAAAGACGTAT